AATAAATATATTTTAAAAAATCAGTTGTCTATAAACATTTACTTATTTCTAGATGTTTTATTTTGATCCAGTAGCTTAACTATCTATCTTGATGGCAATACCAGGCATTTCTGATTAGCTTCAAATGATTCTTAAAAAAAGATAGTGTTAGGCCTTCAACTTGCTCTTTTTTTCAGTGTTATTTTATCTATTTTAGTTTCCTTACATTGACATATGAATTTTAGAATAAATGTGTCCATTCTAACAAAGAAAAAAGTACCACTGGAATTCTGCCTGGAATTGTCCTGAATCTGTAGTCCAATTTAAGAAGAACTGACATCGTAAGAAGGTTGAGTTTTCAGACCTGCAGAGAAGGTACATGCTCAATTTTTTAGGTATTTAAAATTTTATTTCTCCTACATTTTATGGCTTTTCAATGTATAGACCTTTCACTATTTTGTATGATTTATCCAAAACGTTTCCTATTTTTGTTGATGTTGTAAATGATATTGTTTCTTAAATATCAATTCTTGAATATTCATTACTAGTATATAGAAATGAAATTCTTTTCATATTGACCACATACTCTGCATCTTTGCTCAAATCATTATTAACTCTAGATTTTTTGGTAGATTTCAGATTGCCTAAACACAGGATGATCATGCCTTCGCTTTACATTTGCTTTCCAATAAAGATATATATATATAATATATATATAATATATATAATATATATATATATTTTTTGCCTTTTCCTTGCCAGATGCAATGGTTAGAACCTTAAAAACAATACTGACATCATGTTGACCGAAATATGCTGGACACACAAAGATAAATACTTTATGTTCTCCCTTATATATGAGAGCTATTTTTTTTAAAAGCAAGAAATGCCTGAGTTTTGGTACACTGTTAACAAACTTTGTTTTAAATATTTGTCCAATTCATAGGAATTACATAACACTATAATTTTAATGATTCTGTAGCTATTTAAAAATTTATATGAGTGAAATTTTCCCCTTGTTTATTGTTTATATCTCACGCCTATTTTCCCAGTGGTCTATGGTCTTTTTCCTTTTCTTGAATTCTTTATTTAGTGAAGCTAACAAGCCTTCAAGTATAATGTAAATGAAAAATGTGCTATCTCAAAAGAATAAACAAAACATTTTTTAAAACAACACTGAATAAAAGAGATGAGAGTGAACAGCCCTTTCAAGTTTCTGATTTTAAGAAGAAAGAATCCAGTATTTCATTGATTAAGTATTAACTTTAGGTGTGTGTTTTTCATAGTTGTTTTTAAAGTTCCATCTATTCCTTGTTTGTTGAGGTTTGTTTTATTAGGAATGCATACTGAACTTTGTCAATTGCTTTTCATTTTTAATAAAAAATTAATATGATGAATTACACTAATTTTCAAATATTAAATTAATTCTGCTTTTGGAATAAATCTCATCTAGTTACAATATGTTATCTTTTTTTTTTTTTTGACAGGCAGAGTGGACAGTGAGAGAGAGAGACAGAGAGAAAGGTCTTCCTTTTGCCCTTGGTTCACCCTCCAATGGTTGTCGCGGCCGGCGTGCTGCGGCCGGCGCACAGCACTGATCCGAAGCCAGGAGCCAGGTACTTCTCCTGGTCTCCCATGGGGTGCAGGGCCCAAGCACTTGGGCCATCCTCCACTGCACTCCCTGGCCACAGCAGAGAGCTGGCCTGGAAGAGGGGCAACCAGGACAGAATCCGGTGCCTCGACCGGGACTAAAACCCGGTGTGCCGACGCCGCAAGGCGGAGGATTAGCCCATTGAGCCACAGCACCGGCTCAATATGTTATCTTTTTGATATAATGTTGAATTCAATTTGCTAAAGTATTCAGTTGGCTTCAAACTGTATCTATGAAATACATAAAATCTGTTCTATTTATATTAATAAACATTTACAAAACAAAAAAAAATTAAAACAAAAAATTGGAAAACATTCCCAATTGAATTTTTTTAAAGAATGTTTACAAGTAGTATTATTCATTATTATTTTAAATAACGTAGCCCATCTACACTTTGAATTTTGTTGGTCCCCAACTTCAATTTCTTTAATAGATAAAGGTTTATCCAGATTATGTTTTTTCTTAAGTGAGCTTTGGAAATTGAATCTATCAAGGAATTTATCCATTTCATTGAATCTTTAGAATTGACTGACATAAACTTGTTCATCCTTACACTGATAATCTATAACCTCTCTTTGTAATTAGTCTGGTTTGAGAATAAGATTATCAATCTTTTCCCCAAAAAGCTTTTAGTTTTATTGATATTTTTCTACTGTTTCCTTGTTTTCTGTTTCAATTATTTCTTCTTGGATATTTATTATTTTTATTTTTCTGCTTATTTTTGAGTTTTAATTTATGCTTATTTCTCAGTTTCTTAAGACAGATACTGAGCTCACTGCTTTGAGGTCTCCTTCTTTGCTACCTAAATGATGTAGTGTTGTAAGTCAACCCTAAAGTTATTCAGTTATTTTTTCTTTTGCTATGCTTTTATGTTCATCAATATTTTTTTCTACAATATAATCTGCTGTTAGTCACTCAACATAATCTCTCATTTTTTTTGTTTTGTATTTTTTTTGTTGTTGTTTGACAGGCAGAGTGGATAGTGAGAGAGAGAGAGAGAGACAGAGAGAAAGGTCTTCCTTTTGCCGTTGGTTCACCCTCCAATGGCTGCCATGGCTGGCGCGCTGCGGCCAGCGCACCGCGCTGATCCAAAGGTAGGAGCCAGGTGCTTCTCCTGGTCTCCCATGGGGTGCAGGGCCCAAGCACTTGGGCCATCCTTCACTGCCTTCCCGGGCCACAGCAGAGAGCTGGCCTGGAAGAGGGGCAACCGGGAAAGAATCCGGCGCCCTGACCAGGACTAGAACCGGGTGTGCCAGCGCCGCTAAGTGGAGGATTAACCTATTGAGCCGCGGCGCTGGCCCATAATCTCTCATATTAAACACTAAGTTTCTCATTTTTGGAAGTCTGATTTTGATCTATCTTCTACATCTCTATAACTTGTGAATGCACAGAGTACAGTTTTAACACCTGTTCTAATGCCCTCCTATGCTATATCAGTTCCTGTTTCCTTTTTATTGTATTGTTTATGGGTCATGTTTTTCTGTTTCTTTGTATGCCTGGTAATCTGTTTGGATGCCAGCCACTGATTTTTATCTTGGTAGGTGCTGGGTAGTTTTGGTTTGCTCTAAACCTTGAGCCTCACTCTGTATACTAGGGTACATTCTGATCCTTTGGGTCTTGCTCTTAGGATTTGTTAGGCAGGTCTGCAATAGTGGCTGAATAATGGCCACCCAAAGACAGCAGTCTCTAATCCCTGGAAACTACAAATGTCATCTTGTATAGAAAAAGGATTTGTGCAAATGTGGTGTCTTGCCTTGGGGAAATTATCCTGGGTTATCTGCATGGGCCATAAATGCAACTACACATGTCTCTTTAGGAAAGGGAGGCAGAAGAAGATGTGACACACAGGAGGAAGAGGCAATGTGGCCATGCAGACAGAGACAGAGACTTCTGATGGAATGTCAGCATCTACTGCAGTCTGGAAGAAGTAAGGGACCGACTCTCTCCTAGAGCCTCTGGAGGAAGAAAGGTCCTGCTGCCACTTTGAAGTTGGCTCACTGAAATGCATTCTAGACTCTGGCTCTCAGAAGTGTGAAGAAATACAGGTTAAGTGTTTTGGGCCACCAGCTTGTGGTAAGTTGTAGCAATCTCAGAAAATGAACATAACTGTGAATTATGAGTTTTTCCAGTCTGGGTATTGGTATCAGGCATGGTTCTTGCTAATCTTTTATTCCTTTCAAATAGCTCTTTCCCTGGTCAGAGAGTTTAGTCAATGGTTGTGCTGAATACTGAATGTATGTGCTCTACTGAATACTCTGCAGAACTCCAGGGTTCTCCCTCTTTGTAGCTCTTTTAATTTGCTTGGTGTCCCCAGACTGTTGATTCTGCCTTATGAACTTGGGAAGTATGCCTGCATTGCCTCAACACCTTCTCTCTATGCCTCATCCTGAAAACTGAGTAAGGCCTTAAATCTGGGACATCTCTTGTTTCTTATCTCTCAGGAGTTACTTTCTTTCATTGGTTTGATGTTCAGCATCTGAAAACCTATTGTCTCATGAGTTTTGTCTGCTTCTTTTTGGTTGGTGCAGGCAGGAAGGTTAATCTAACTCCATTATTACAGCTTAATTGGAAACTCTATTGATATTTGTAGCATATTCTTTACTTTAGATTTTTGGGTGAGGTCAAATGAATATACAATGTAAAAGAGTACTCAGGAAACTAAGGAACTTGGTTTTTAAAACACATCGTAGTCTTCATTCAACAAAGCAAGGCATTATTTCTACAAGTGCATGAGCCCTTGCCACCCATGTGGGAGACCTGGATGAAGCTCCTGGCTCCTGACTTTAGCCTGGCTCAGTCCCAGCCATTGCAACCATTTGGGGAGTGAACCAGTGGATGGAAGATATCTCTCTCTCTGTCTCCCCCGCTCTCTCTGTAGGTCTTTCAAATAAATAAATCTTTAGAAAAACATTCAAAGGAAAAGAAACAAGTCTTATCTTTCTTAGTGTATAAATATACTGTGAGTACAGACTATATGGGAAGGGATTATAGAATCTGACCTAAAATAAGTAAAACTGTTTTCACATTAACTGGCTTCTTTAAAAATAACTTGTGTGTGTGTTTGTTACATATGTGTATAACAGACATTTATTCTATGTGAAGAATAGGTTGCATAAATGTTACATAAAATGTATATAACATTTCAAATGTCACTGCTATCACTGGAAAAGCAAGTATGGATCAATGAGATGATGACGACACTTTAACCACAGGAGTCTCCAAGTATGAGCCCTGAAAGTCTAATGACAATGTTCTGAACTTTCCCATTTATGCTCATATGTACACTCTTGTGAGAGTAGGGGATGAACAATATAAGGACCCTTAGAGAGCACTCCACCTCTGAAGAAATTATAATATTTTTGTTATTTACCTGAAGATTTTCACAGGTCTCTTGACTATAAGTCAGTCTCTGAATTTCTGTAGGTGAAACAAGATATAATGCTTGTCCATTGTTGGTGAAGCAGAATGTTCTGGCTATCCGCATATTGGTAAGGGGCAAGTAATACACATCCAACAGTGGCCTTAAGCTTGGCAAACTTGAGGAAGAAATCAAAGACTCGTTAGCGATAAACATGGTAGGTTTTAGCCCTGAATACAGTATTATAGGAGCTAAAAATAACAAAGATCTTATAAACTTTATGATTTAGTTTGTATATCTAAATGGGAGATTAAAAAATGATTTGTATTTCTGAAATCCATTACAGTATACTTATTCACTATTAAGTGAATGAAAACAAATTCTTAGTATATAAGAACATAAACAAAAAAAACCCCACCATTTCTTTCAAGCCAACTATAACTGTAATATGATTTGAAGGAAGAGACTCTCTGTGTTTTAAAAATATCTCTTACCTAAAAGCCATAATATGTCCATTGGCACAGAAACATGCCAGGCAGATACTGTTACTCAATGCTACAATATCTCCACGAAGCACAAATGAGGTTTCTGTTATGTTTTGCTTGTAAGCACAGTTCTGGGTTGGCAGTGAGATTACTTTTGCTTGCTTTTCAGAGCAAATCACTGCATACTGGTTTTCACTAATTTCCTGAGAGGAAGAGGGTGATACTGAGACAGGCCGCCTTTTTTTCAATTTCTCCTTTTCATCTTTTTCTTCAGGAACATTGTGTTCTTTCCAGGGTTCATATGCAGGTGGTATTAAGCAGCCAGTGGTATCCAGAAATGCCATTCTCAAAATCGCCCCTTTTAGCCTCAGTATAGTACCTAAAATACACAAATTTAATAAATAGTTGAAATATTAAAATTCAAAGTATCTTTATTCCAACTGTGATACACAGTAGATACTTAAAATTGTGTTGAATGTGTAACTGAAATTGTACACTGACTGTGCCATTGATAGGATTCAAAGTTCAAGCATGGCTTTCATGAGTCTGGAAAAAGACAGCAATGTTACATGCCCCAAATAGATAACCACCACCAATAATTCACAATTTAATTCAATATGATAAATTTTGCAAACAAACATCTGCACTAGGTTAATAAATAACAGGTATGCTGGGGTATCTGGAATTAAGTTTCCTTTCATACTCGGCAATTATACTCCCAACAAGTACGAGAATGAGTAAATAGCATACAGCATGTAGAGCTGAGCTGTCCGACATGGCAGCCACTAGTCAAAGTGGCCCCAGAACGTTGGAAATGTGCTTTGTCTAAATTGTGGACAACTGTGCTGGGAGAGTTAAACACATACCAGACTTGAAGACTTCAGCACAAAAATAATTCAGTGTAAAATATCTCAATAATTTTTATATAGTGACTATATGCTAAAATGATAACATTCTGTGATATACCTGGCTAAATATGCCACATGTTTAATACTGGTATCCAAAATGCTTAAGACAAGAATTTGTTTCAATTTTTTTTGGATTTTGGAATATTTGTATTTAGATAATGAGAGATCCTGGGTATGGGACCCATGTCAAAATAGGAAATTCATTTATGCTTCATATATATGCACCTTATACACACAGCCTGAAGGTAAATTATGTAGTATTTTTGTTGTGCCTCAATTATGACTGTAACCACCATATAAGGTTGGTGGGGTGGGATTTTCCACTTCTGGCATCATGTTAGCACTCAAAATGTTTCAGATTTAAGAGCATTTTGGATTTCAGAGTTTTCGAATAGGGATGCTAGATTTGTATAAAAATTAATTCCATTTGATTTATATTTCATTTAATTTTTTTTTTCATTTTATTTGAAAGGCAGAGAGAGTAGAGAGAAAAAGAGAGAGAGAGAGAGAGAGACAGACATAGAGAGAGCTTCAGTGTACTGGTTCAGTCCTCAAATGCCTGTAATGCCAGGACTGGGCCAGAATGAAGCCAGGTGCCAGAAACTCCATCAGGTCTCCCACACAGGTGGCAGGAACCCAAATACTTGAGTCATCTCCATTGCCTTTAAGGATGTAAATTAGCAGTAAGTTGAATTGAAAACATAGCCAAGACTCAAACCAGGCACCCCATGGATGTGTGCATTCCAAGCAGTATCTTCACCACTGAACTAATCATTGGCTCCTGATCTTTACATTTTTAATGTGGTTGCTAGAAGATTTAAAATTATATATGTGGTTTACACTGAATTTCCAAAAGACAGTACTTTTCTAGAGAGCCAGTGAGAAAAATATTCCATGTATTTCTAAGTATTATCTCTAAAATCATAATTTTGTTTTTAAACTATTTACCAATTCATGCCAAATACACTCAGGGCATTATTCTGGTCATAGTCTTAATTTAGTGGTTGCACTTTTTTATTTAAGTAAAGGTAGCCTTTCCCCCACATAGCTTTGGAAATGTGTAACTGTGCCTTATGGATATTTCCAAAAAGCTAAATGAATGAATGGCATAGAATTGACTCACTTTAGGTTTTTTTTTTTTTTTTTTTTTAAAGATTTGTTTATTTATTTGAAAGGTAGCTTTACAGAGTGAGGACAGGGAGGGAGAAAGGGGGAAAGGGAGATCTTTCATCTGCTGGTTCATTCCCCAAATGGACTAGGGCCGGGCCAGGTCAAAGCCAGGAGCTGAGAAGTCTGTCCAGCAGATTGAAGACCTCTTTCTCTCTTTCTCTGCCTCTGCCTCTCTGTAGCTCTGCTTTTCAAATAAATCAATCTTAAAAAACAACAACAACAACAACAAAAAACACACTGTTATCTGAAGTTAGTATTTGAGCATCTTATGGTTTTATTGGCTAAACCTAACAACTCTAGTGTACAGTCCAAGTTTGGCAAGTGGATAATTTAACTATTTTAAGAAGTTTGGTAGAACAATGAGAAACATAATACTTACAATCTTATAGTTTAATCACTAGTTACCTTAAAACACATTCTAAAGTTAACTTTTATTTCGAAACCCCTGATTTTTCTTCTGGTCCACTGAAAGAATTCTTCTTTCAGTTTTGATGAGGTCAGCTGAATTATTCATGTCAATTTGGGAAATGGATTGCACATACATGGTCCTACTACTTGGATTTTCTATAAATTAACCAAAATAACACCTAAACATATGTTGTGTTATACTTGGCAGGATTTTTAGCAAGTTTCTCAGGTTTTCCTTTTGAAGAAAAGAAAAAAAGGGGTCAAAGTAGACCATTTCAGGTTCTTGCACAGAGAAACAGATCTACTTGAAAAACACATCTGTGGGGCCGGCACTGTGCTGCAGTAGATTAATCCTCCACCTGTGGCAATGGCATCCCATTTGGGCACCAGTTCTAGTATCGGCTGCTCCTCTTCTGATCCAGCTCTCTGCTATGGCCTGGGAAAGCAGCAGAAGATGGACCAAGTAATTGGGCCCCTGCACTCACGTGGGAGACCCAGAAGAGGCTCCTGGCTCTTGGTTTCGGATTAGCCCAGCTCCAGCCTTTGTGGCCATCTGGGGAGTGACCAGAAGATGGAAGACCTCTCTCTCTGTCTCTCACTCTCACCGTCTGTAACTCTACCTCTCAAATAAGTAAATAAAATCTTAAAAAAAGAAAAAAAGAAAAACACATCTCTTACACTTTTAACATTGCTAACAGGATATGAGTACCACTGATAATTTACAAACAGGCATCTTACTAAAAACAACCTTAGAAATCCAAACTTCAGGAGAACCAAAAGGTTCCTTTGCATATATGAACATTATCTTTTAAAAAAATTATTCATGGGCCGGCGCCGCGGCTCACTAGGCTAATCCTCTGCCTTGCGGCGCCAGCACACCGGGTTCTAGTCCTGGTCGGGGCGCCAGATTCTGTCCCGGTTGCCCCTCTTCCAGGCCAGCTCTCTGCTGTGGCCCGGGAAGGCAGTGGAGGATGGCCCAAGTCCTTGGGCCCTGCACCCCATGGGAGACCAGGAGAAGCACCTGGCTCCTGCCATCGGATCAGCGCGGTGCGCCAGCCGTGGCAGCCATTGGAGGGTGAACTAACGGCAAAGGAAGACCTTTCTCTCTGTCTCTCTCTCTCTCTCACTGTCCACTCTGCCTGTCAAAAAAAAAAAAAAAATTATTCATGTTAAAGGAAGAGATAGAAAGAGGACAGAGAAAGGTTCACTCCCCAAATGGCCAGCAGGCTGAACCCAGGAGCCAAGGCCTTCTTCTTAGTCTCCCATATGGGTTGCAGGGGCCCAAGGACTTGGGCCATCTTCTACTGCTTTCCCAGCAGCATTAGTAGGGAGCTGGATTGAAGTGGAGCAGCCAGGACACAAACTGGCACCCATATGGGAACCCCTGCAAGTAGCGGCTTAACCTTTTATGCCACAACACCAGCCCTATGAACATTATCTTTCTATCAGGGCAAAACTTCATAGTTAATTTGATTTTGTTGCAAGTTGGAAGGTAATTTGATTTTATTTCATGTTTAAAAATACCTTAAATTCTTTCTATTTAGTTGACAGCAAATTATCTATATTTAATTGCTTCTTCTCATTTTTAAAATTTTCTCTTATTGCAAATTTATACATGTTTATTATAAAATATTTAAAAACTACAAATCAGTAAAAAGAGGAAAATGATTTCAAGGTTCTGCTAACCACAGTGACAAATCCTGTTAACATTTTGACTTTCTTTCTAGCTTTTTAAAAATTCTTATACATAATTTTCTGCCTACCAATCAGAAATGAGATTAGTAAGAATACTATCATTACATAACCTGTTTTCTATAATCTAACACACAGGCATGGAATATAAACCCAAGTATTTACTGAACTGATTGAAAATCAAACTACTTATTTAATGTAAAGATAATTTGGAAATGAACACTGAAATCATAATTACATTTTAATTCTATACTCTAAAAATTTTTTAAATCTACTATAGAAAGGAGATACACTAAAGAGCAAAGTCATGGTTGATTCTATGTAGCTGAGCATAAATTAGTAGTTATGGAATCTAGAACACTCAGTTATTTTCAGACCTATTAGACCCTGCATACATTCAATAAAATCCAATCTCATTTTCAATGTGAAGACTAAATATTTTTTAAAATGTGCTATTAAGTCATCTTTTCTCATTACTTCAAATAACTCAGATTTTACAGTGATTAAAAATAACCATATAAATAGTTTAAAAATAACTTAAAAAATTTTCTCCTAAATATGTACCATCCTTCTGCTTTATAGAGCATAACTTTTGAGTTACTAGGAATGCATTATGTTAAGAACAATTATTTCTCATCTTATTTCACACGTGAGTGGCTGTATAAATACATGGTATTTTAAAATCCTGTTTTATATATTCCTTCATTAAAAATCAGAAAACAGGTCACTATCTTCAGTTACTTCACATTTTAGAATTTTCAGCTCGATTCAATAACGAAAAGCAAAGCTCCTACTAAATCACAGTAAATCACACCTGAAAAGTAACTAAGTGCAGCACCAGAGCATACGTACCACTTGGAGACACAATCACGGGCTGAAGAAGTCTTTGTTCTCCTCCTGGGGGAAGGTTCAGTGCAATGACCAGCACTGTTCCCAGTGTTGTTCCAACCCAGAGACATGGGGAAGGGGAAGAGTCCGCCTTTCGAGTAAAAGTTTCACAGAAATGAAGAGCAGAGATAGCTTCTCGGGATTCTTTGTCGATGCTGGTTACACTTGAACTCCGTGATCGGCTGAAGGAATTATCTTTTACATCTGAAATGATTTAAAGTGTTGTGAGATTGCTCAAATTGCAAGATCACACTTTTTCTGGGCATAAATTTGGCCAAAAGTTAAACCTGAAAAAGAGAAAATCTATAGTATATTTAATTTTAGTTTTTCACTGAAAAGGAATGTAACTTTTATGCTAATGATTTTCATTCTTGTTTAAATATAAAATTAAAATGAACAAATCCACACTTTTCAGAAGCGAGCTGGGTAAATCCCAATGCATTTCTGAATGTCTGACCCTTGGTATTCTGGCTGCTTTTGTAATATTTGCCTCATCACCTTCTTTCCTCCTGGTATGGTTTTTTCTTTCATAATACAATCCACGAGTAGGTAGAAGTAGAGTGAAGTAGAAAAGTGAGACTAATTTCCAAGTTAAAAAACGCAATTAGGAGTACTCTGATGGACCTTTACTTTCTCATTTGAAAGCCTTTAAACAGTAAAAATTTAGACTGCATGTTTCTTGAATGCCATTTTAATTGTCATCAACATTCAACAAAGTATACAATGGGTATATTCTCTTTGGATCATAGTCTCTTTACACAGGTGTCTGTAATGATGGATTTTTTTTTTTTTTTTTGACAGGCAGAGTGGACAGTGAGAGAGAGAGAGACAGAGAGAAAGGTCTTCCTTTGCCATTGGTTCACCCTCCAATGGCCGCCGCAACCGGTGCACTGTGGCTGGCGCATCGCGTTGATCCAAAGCCAGGAGCCAGGTGCTTCCTCCTGGTCTCCCATGTGGGTTCAGGACCCAAGCACTTGGGCCATCCTCTACCGCACGCCCGGGCCATAGTAAAAAGCTGGCCTAGAAGAGGGGCAACCCGGACAGAATCCGGTGCCCCGACCAGGACTAGAACCCGGTGTGCCAGCACTGTAGGTGGAGGATTAGCCTATTGAGCCGCGGCTCTGGCCTAATGATGGATATTTTAAAAATATGTTAAAAAACCTCTCGTCCTTAGCTATGTTCTGTGGATAATTCCAAAAGTGTAACAGGTCTCCCTGTCTTTTCTCTCAGAACTGCATCTGCAAATGTTTACTGGATGTTTTTCCTGTTATACTCCACTTTGTAAAATCAAAACACATCGTTGAACAAAGCACTACATTCTTCTGATGACACTGTATTAGTAACAACCCTGGTTCTGCTAGTGAACAACACTTAAAATGAGCCACAGTGTTGCTCCCTCCTCTTCATTTCACCTGTAAACTTGATGGGAAGCCAGACCCAGGATGTTCTGTTTCCTTCTTTCCATTACTGATCTATTTCTATTGCTCCAAATTCAGTCTCATTACTATTCTCCTAGGCAATACCCAACTATCTTCTACCCTTAGTCGCTCATAGCTAACACAGCTCAATTAAATTTTATAAAATAGTTAACAATTTTGTCTTCTCAATTAAAAAAAAAACCTAAGTGGCAGCTCTTTGTCTATTTATTCCTTGAGAGGAGAGACACAAACACAGAGAGTGTTCCCAGCCTGCGTTCACTTTCCAAATGTTCACAAAGGCTACACTAGGAGCCAGGAACACAATCTAGGCCTTCCACATGGGTGACTTGAGCCATTACTACTGCCTCCCAGGGTCTGCACTGGTATGAAGCTGGAGTCAGGAACTGGAGCTGGGAATCAAACCTAGGCACTCTGGTGTGGAATACAGGCATTTAACCACTGGGGCTAAAGGCAAACTCTCTTGTTCAAAGTTCTCAGGACTTTGCAAAATACTTCTAACCTATCCTCCTAATCTGTTAACACCCAGTGCTACCCTGCTTCAGTTCATTGTGGGAAATAAATCAAGCCAACTGATTTTTTCCATATATAATTTGCATTTACCTACTTACATACTTTTGCTTCTTATTTTCTGGCTAGTGTCCTTGTCTTGGCCCTTTCTTTAACCAACAATGCTTATTTTCCATCTCAGTTATTGCCATATTTTGTTAGTCTTGATTCAAACAACCATGCATAATTTCTCTCCCTTTTTAATCTCTATTGCTCATGTCTCCACATTGGCAATTACACTGGTGCTGTAGTTATTTCTAATTTGTTATATAACCTGCTCTAAAGTGACTACAAGTCTCTTGTGTATAAGGATTGTGTCAATTTTTGATTCCCTGCAGAATTTTGCACATATGAAAAATACTCATATAAACATTTGCTAAAGACAGATCTATAGTTGAGAGTATCTAAAATGTTGTTTCTTCTGCCCTATATGATATATTAAAATTCTCAGTAGCTTCCACTGCTCACATCTAATAAGTCACTCCTCAAACCACATGCTTTCTATGCTACTTTGAAAGAAAAGATGTTTCATAATCTCATGAAAAATTCAGCAAAATTTTAGTCTTCCAGGCTTTATTTTACAACATAAAATGGTATTATTGAATCATAGTTAATCATAGTTATACTATCAAAAGGTTTTTGCAATGAAATTTAGATTCATACAATAAAAATATTCCCCTAAATCATAATTGTATGCAACATAATTTTGATTATAGGTTGAATCTGAAAATAATAAAGTTACTAGTATAACAACACCAGTTCATTTTTTTAAAGCATAAGTCATATCTAACTGAGGCTTCTAAGGACCCATTTTTCTTTGATTGAGATTATTTTCTGATTACAGATTATGTCATTGTAGAAAAGACTAGTTACTGTAAATGGAACAACTTTCTATAATCAATAGCTCAATACTGGATGAGTTTATAATATGATATTGGTTCCAATAATTTACATTTCCAAAGTTTTTTTAGTAAAATTGCAGAAAATTTCAATTTATTTTCCAATGACAAATAAATTTAGTTTGTTATTTAAATAAAGCATAAATATGCAAAGTAAATAGACATAGGTTTCCAGCTGTGATATAATACTAACAACCAAAAGGAAAAAAATAAAAAGTTCAACAGTATAAATTTCAATGTAAATTAATCTATGGAAAACTGACTGAGATACACATATATATCTTAAAATTACAACAGGTGATTTATAACTATAATGTTAATTCACAAGCTGAATGAACAATGGTTTAATCTAACTACATAAGATAAATAAACTAAAATTTCATTTTTTAATTTGATTTACCTATAAAAATTAGGTTATCAAAGAAATTCCTAAGGCTAGATCAATATTGGATAATGCACTGAATAAGAATCAAGTTTGAATTGGATAGACAGGTTGCTTATTTTATTATATGGCTAAAAGTGTCTGGAAGTAAGATGGAATTTTCTGTAACTGAAACTTTCACTTACTTCTATTGTGGTTCTCTGTGGCTTAATTTTTAGATATTGGGCAGGTTAGACAAAAGGACTGGAATGTTTCATTTTAAAGGTTCTAGTAATATGAGCAAAAATAGAAATATCAACCACTAAGCAAGGCCTACTATGTGACAGGCTGTGATGTAATACTTTATATTTATAATTTCAATGAATTCACACAAGAATTTTGAAAAATATTATCATCACAAGTTCAAAGAGGTGAAATGACTTTCCCAGTATGATGAACCTAATACATGGTAGAGTCAGGCCCTGTCAAAAGTCTAAAGCTTCCTGTTAGACAGCTCTAGACAGTGTTTACCTCCCATGTCTGACATTGGAAAACTGACACCAGAAGTTTAACCGTATCACCAATTACTCCTGATCTGTACAAGGACGGTGAAACAACAGAAAGGCACAGAGCTGTGCAAATTCTCTATAAACAAAAATGAGTTCGGATGCTTCCAGAGATGCAGGACAGTACAACAGCCTCTGCTGCTCTACGACATCTAGCAGTTTGAACTACAAATATAGTTGTTTTTATTTTCCCCATTGCCTCCTGGATCCATGTAAAACAACTAGCAGCCAAGGATCTCCACCAAACAATTCTTCAGCAGCACAAGGACTTGAGTAAAACATTTAAATAATATGGAGATATTCAACACATAAAACAAAGTTATAATTGGGCAGGCAAGCTAAAGCATTAACTGAATAAACATGACCTGTAAAAGCATGCAGTACATACTTTTATTAAATTATATCATTTATAAATGTGAATTAAAAAAATATAATTCAGTATGACATTTTTACTAATTTTAAATCTCTTATTTTTCCTATGAATGTGGCTTTACACTAATGACAACTGAGTATATCACATACTCACTATCAAATAAATGCCTTCTATCAGTGAACTGAGGTAAGACTACAATTTGGAAATGCTAAAATTAGTATCCTGAAACAGACCAACACCTAAGTTCGCAACATGCATAAAAAAGATAGTCAAAGTCGGTGAACTCAACGGGCTTTCATAGCCTAGACAGCTCATGGCAAGAGTCTCGGGTGATTGCTGACATCATAAATAAGAGTGCCAATTGTTAAATCAACAACGGGAGTCACTGGGTACATGCTCCCCACGTAGGATCTCTGTCCTTAACGTGTTCTACTATGAAACTTAAAGACAACACTACTAGTCAAACAATACCCTATACCTTGTGCGGTTGTGTGAGTGCAGCCTGTTGAAATCCTTGCTTAGTATATACTAAGTTGATCTTCAGTATATGAAGGTAATTGAAAATGAAACTCCATGAAGGGCAGGATGGGAGAGGGAGTAGGAGAGGGAAGGGCCATGGGAAGTAGGGAGGTTGGGGGGAGGAAGCCACAACAATACAAAAGCTGCACTTTGTAAATTCACATTTATTAAATTAAAAAAAAAAAACCTATATAACAAACAAAAAAAAAGAAACAGAAAAAAAAAGAACTTAATACTTTACCCTTTTAGTGTTTTTTATGTTCTACTTAAAACTATTGGTTGAACTCTGTAATTAATACACAGTTACTCTTAGGTGTTTAATTAATGCTATAACTAGTACTCAAATAGTATTTTACACTTTGTGTTTCTGTGTGGGTGCAAACTGTTGAAATCTTTACTTAATATATGCTAAATTGATCTTCTGTATATAAAGATAATTGAAAATGAATCTTGATGTGAATGGAAGGGGACAGGGAGTGGGAGAGGGGAGTGTTGTGGGTGGGAGGGAAGTTATGGGGGGGGGAAGCTATTGTAATCCATAAGCTGTACTTTGGAAATTTATGTTCATTAAATAAAATAAAATTATAAACAAAACAAAACAAAGATAGTCAAGGAATCTATAAGATAACAATATTGGGAAGGCGAGTTACAGGGACAAATCTAGTTATCTCTAAGATAGCAATGAGTAGAATCATCTGTAAGCAGTAAGTAGTCATTTCCTATTCAATGAAAGGTAGCAGAAATTTCTGACATCACAAAAATGAGTTAAAAAGAAACCCAGCTTTACATATATTACATGAGATCTTACTTTTATATTTTGTGAAGTGTCATTTGTCCCCACAGGAAATCAAATATCTGTTTTGATCTGGATATAGTGCAAAGTAAATGTGTGGATATATTCACTCTGCTTTCCTATCAGATAGAGATACACAGAAAGTGCCATGGAAGAAGAAATATTTCTCAGCTTATTATCACCAAAAATATAAATATGATGATCTTACAGAAGAGATTCATTGCAATAAAATAATTTATTTTTAAAATATTAAAATTACTATTAAAATATCAATATTTTAAAAATATAAATGAGTTTATAGTTCAAAATACACTTCCAAGGCTTTTTTCGTAATATCACCATTTTTAATCTTATAATAAAATTCTGTTAAGATACTAAGTCTGAGAAAGCCAAAGAAATATATTATTTTGGTTTGCTTGATTACATATTATGATTTTTTTTTACAAATTATATAGAATTCTAAAGTTAATCCTTAAACATTTTAGTCTTTATTTCCAATGCAAATGTAGTCTACAGTAATTTTAAATCTTCTGATTTGCTTATTTGTCTTCCAATTAGAGAGAATTTAGTCACTTTGGACATTTATTAATTAAGTTATATACTTACCTAAATCAGGCTTTAGATCAGTGGGCAAACTTAACTTCCTTGACATCTTTGCTGAAAAATAAAACGCAGTTTTAAAATTCTGAAGACTATTTGATTCATACTTGTTAACACCAACTGACTTCCAAGACAGAAGTGAATACTTTTATGACTAAATCTAGATGCTAGGATGATTAAATCAAAATTAATAGTATTAGGGGTGGAAAGTAAATCTTACTTTCAACTTGTTAAAAGTTTGTACTTACTTGATGTCATATTTTTGCATGAAGCTCTTACTTCAAGGAGCCTTTTAAATTCTAACTCATAATTATTCTTATGCTTAGAAGAAAGGGTTAGGCTTTTCTAAGAGAAGTAATCAGTCTTCCTAGGAAAGGTGTTGCAGTTAAGGGCAACAGAAGCATAAGACTAAGTTTAGGTAAGTGACAGGAAATTCTTCCAGTTCATGGTGTTCATAACTATCTGGCTCATTATTTCTTAAGTTGATGTCTAGAATATAGGACAAACCTATTCTATAATCAGATCAAGGTATTTTATTATATCACAAAATTATCTGTCTTAATCATTACTTGATATAAGTCAATAATTCTATTTACATTTCACTGAAAAACAAAAAACTAAATCCAAAATTACAGTATTTATATAAAATGTAAACTACAGGTATTTTTGTGGTATTAGAAAGGACAAAAGCTAATAAACAAACTTACTGGAATTCACTTTCCATCCTTAAAGTCAGTTTTTGTCTTACACTAGTAAGTGATTTAAAGTTAGGAGTTGTTTGACTATATATCTATTATGTTAGTGGTAATGCATGCGTAACAGAATAGTGCATCCTATGAAATTTTAAAAAAAAGCATTTCTTTGTTAATACATGAATGCATACACTGGGTTAAACTTTGGACTGTTAGGAGATATTTAAAGCACAGACCCTGCTAGTCCATAAGGGCGCCATGTAAACAAAGAGAAATCCAGTCATAGTATATAACTTCCAATCTAAAAAAATGACAAATCCATTGTTAGGAAAGAGGCATTAGGCAGATTGGGAAAGGACTGGGGGAATAGGACATCAAGTTTTGACCTGTAAATTTCCCTAATTCGTACCCTTGAACAAATAACAATTGGTCAAATATATGTATCAGTTATCCCAACTTCACCTATTGAAGTGAATTAACTTCATTTAAAAGAATAAAATATAAAACCCCAAATAGTCAAACAGAATCCATTTAGTGGATATCACAAATATAGTTGCTATCATATCTGGCAGTCAATATGATTACAATTAGAAGGCATTTTACCCCTAAAGCAATCCCCCAAAAGCAATATTAAGCAATATTATTCAGAGGCTTTCACCAGTATCATAGGTACAACATACCTAGACTAAGAAGTATCTATATAATGTGCACAGTATCTGAAGTAAAAATTCAATTTGGCACAGTCAAAATATCCCCTTTTAGTGGCTGGCTTTGTGGCACAGTGGATTAAGCTGCTGCCTGTGATGCTGGCATCTTATGAGTAAGGTTCAAGTCCCAGCTGTTCCACTTCTCATCCAGCTCCTTGCTAACATGCCTGGGAAAGCAGTGGAAGACGGCCCAAGCACTTGGGTCCCTGCCACCCACATGGGAGACCTGGATGGAGTTCCAGTCTCCTGGCTTTGGCCTGGCACAGCCCCCGCTGTTGCAGTCATTTGAGGAATGATCTATGTAACTATGCCTTTAAAATAAATAATATCAACCTCAAATGATAAATAAATATACTTTTAGAATCAGATGATGCAGATGCCACTTCTCTAGACCTCACTACCATGATTTTGATTAAGTTATTCTAAATCTTAGGACCTGTGCTTGAAGATCTCAGTAAGCGAACATTCTGGTTCTGTACCACTGGTGTAGGGCCTGAAAGGGCTTTCCAGTAAGCTCACAGAAGATGCTCACACTTCTGGTCTGTGGACCACAATTTGAGAAGCAAACTACCAGGCCTATATACAGCTTTAGGGTAAAAACCATGACAAATGAACCCTAATATATAAATACACTAAGTCTGAAAAAAATATCACTCTTTGAACAAGCTCCAATATCCTAAGTAAGTACTTTAAACCCTCAAGATTTTTAATATTACTTAACTTCAATAATTCTTAAACTTCATTACTCCTATAGAATAATTTTGTCTAGCATCGTAATTTTTATGTAAAAGCATTGAATACAACTAACAGCTTTCAAATACTTTCAGTTGGCCTAAATCCAACATTTTAATACTTTAATATTGAGAGGTTGAAATCACAAATAAAATGATTGGAAGATAACTTGAATAGAACAATTTTATACTAAGTGTCACAAGCAACTTTTAATTATAGTCTATTATTTCCACCTGAAAGACTGCAATTGGAGATCCACAATTCAGTCAACACATCAACCACAATATTCAAATGAGAGATATTTAAGCATTATCACTGCTATGTTCTGATGCAATTTTAAGCAAGCTCCTAGAAATGATAAATAATGTTAAAAGATTAACTTTTGCTGTTTGGTGTTAATCCTGACCATCAAGTAATATTTTAAAGATAGAGAACTAAGAGTTTTGTGTACAGAGAAAAAATTTTGCTATATGTAGAGGTATCACATGTATCCTGAGACAAAGGGATCCCTTTTTATTCATTAAATATTATTTGGAACATGCTAGTAATGCACCAGTGGGCAAGGATGGACTTCCTGTCCACCAGGAGCTACAGCCAATAGGAGGAAAAAACTCAAATGCTAGGCGGTAACTGCTCATGGTGGCAAGCACAACACCCTGATTTGAGTATACTGCATTTATACCTCTTTCAGTCAGAAATATTTATCTGGGACTACGGAACCTCAGACAAAGTCAGCAAAAGACTTTTTAAGCATTTTTCATAAACCTATATGCTCTCTAAACATTTTGTTGTTGGTTTTTCTTTGGATATAAAATTTATATACAAGCGGGGAAACATTAAATTTATATTCACTGCTGATATATCCACCTGTGTAACTCACTTAGCAAGATACAGAGCATTACAGCCACACCCTAAAAAGTCACACATACTCCCATGCCCACAAATAAACACGCCCTAACACTTTTTCATCAGAAATCAATTGTGCCTGTTCAGCAACTCCATACTGATGAAATCACAACACACTCTGTGTAAAATATCTCACTGTGGATGATGCTTTTAGGGTTCTTCCCCCAAATACTTTTAGGCTTCCATTCATTTTTTCAAGGCACAGAATAAGAATGAAAAAAATACACACTCTCTTAACTAACGGACTGAGAAGCATATAAGGTTAACTTTTTTTTAATGGGTATTTTTACCTTGCCTTCTCTTTTAAATTATGTGCTCTTCAAAGAAAAATTAGAAACCACAGAAACAGAAAAAAAGTCACTATTAATGGCCACAGCCAGAAGTAACATTTTTATATGTTCTGCTAGTCACCTTTTTGAAATCCACTTTTCTTTATATAGTTGAGATCAACTATACAAATCTGTATTCTGCTCTTTTTCACTCTTAAAGCACTTTCTTATGTCACTATTATGGTATTTTAATAACTGAAAATTTAATTATGGATGCTTATAGGCCATTTAGATATTTTCCAACTTATACAGTAATACAAGTGTACAGAAATATTTGAATATATTTGGATTATTTCCTTAGAACAGAATTCTACAAGGGAGAATGCCTGTTGACTCCTCCAACTCCCCTCCCCCAAGTTGTTCTAAAGTATGTCTTGTATGTCCTTTTTTAAAAATGGGCATGTAAGCACAGTACTTCACAAACTTCTATTTAGATGAAAAGAAAGCAAAAACATGCACAACTTTGTCATGATGAAAAAGTCTTTGCTCACAACTCAGCCCCTCAAAACAAGAAGCTGCGCTATGTTATTACTGTGTAAATGTAGCTGGGCAATCTCAATTCAGAAAGATCAGCACCTATCTCTGAATGTAACTTGTCTGTTTTGTATGGATGCTTTTTGAGAGATGAGAACAACAGGGAGTGAAGGAAGGAGCTGAGGGAAAGAGAGGTAAAGGATATAAATCATGGAAATTAAAACTCTTGCTCAGATGTATAAGTAAATGGTTTTTCTTTGAATGAAGAGACAGCTCTCTGAATGTCTGCAATGACAGGCAGAACCCTTAAGTATTAAGCAAGGATTTGTCTTGAAAGGCACAGCTAATGTGAGGTGTGATCATTTAACCTATCATGATTTTTACTGAAACTGAATGTTCTTGTTTTTTCACTGATTTCATAGGCACACATAGGTATGCCTCAGATAGCAATGTTGGCTAGACATAAAGTCACTGCTGACATTTACAGATTTTAAAAACCTTTTATAGGGGCCGGTGCTGTGGCGCAACAGGTTAAAGCCCTGTCCTGAAGTGCCAGCATCCCACATGGGCACCGGTTCTAATCCTGGCTGCTCCACTTCCGATCCAGCTCTCTGCTGTGGCCTGGGATTGCAGTAAAAAATCTCCCAAGGCCTTGGACCCTGCACCCACATGGGAGATGCAGAAGCAGCTCCTGATTTCATATTGGTAAAGCTCTGGCTGTTGCGGCCATCTGGGGGAGTGAACTGGCAGATGGAATCTACCTCTCTCTGTAACTCTTTCAAATAAAATAAATCTTTAAAAAAAACCTTTTATACAAATAATTCTAATTTTAAAGAATTCAAACAATGCAGAACACTATCCGTTTTTAAATTATCATCCAATATTCCACCCACCAGAAATAACCATTGAGATTAGCTGAAAACTTTTATTATCTATTTTTACATACAGATAGTCACTATAAAAGTTTGCAGAAAACTGTAATACTATATCAGGGTACTTTAAAAAGTTCATGTGAAATGTGTTTTATGAAAAAATCCTAATTTTTTGCACCAAAATAAAATTTTTAAAAAATCCATTTTACATTAACTTTCTGAAATGCTCTATGACTAAATACAATAAATTTTTACTTCCCTTAAACGTAAGTGACACTAAATGAATTTTACTTACTATAAAGACCAAAATACTCTAAGGAAAATAAAACACATTATGAGAAACAT